ATCCCAGTGCATGCCTTTTTTATGAATAAATAAATAAGAAAATAAGCAATTGTGAAGACCAAAATGTCCTTCCTATAATCACTCTCGTTGCAGGAAATTTGAAATGGAGCAACAGTTTTCATCATTCGGCTTTTATTTATTATCTAGATATATATATACACGCTAGTCTTTGCCATATATATATATATATATATATATATATATATATATATATATATATATATGAAGTAGTGTTATTGTTATGGTACCTACCAATTTTACTAATTGATATCAAATTTAATTAAATTACAACTTAGTCACTATAATGTACATTTTACATTTTGATATCTCAAAATTAATTTTAATTTAAAATCATTTAACAATTATATTTTGTTAATTTTTATGAAAAATTCGTACCTATTACATGTTTGTCCAATGTTTAGATTTCATTCCAATCCACGAATTCAGTCCACCATAATATAAAAGTATAAATTTAGTTTGTACAATACAAGATGTTGTATAACTCAACTGTAGGAGAAAATTCGACCAATTTATATTTGCTCATTACGTGAAATATTAAATAAATAATAAAGAGAGTCGACTCTAAAATATTGCAAGAGCGAATTTATAAACTCATTTAGTACATTTATGGGGTAGTAAACAAACTTCTACTAACTACATGTAGCAAAACATGCGATATCTACATAAGCAAGTGTCAATAAATTGCTACGGTGAAAAGTGGTGATTGTTGTACTGACGGTTTCCATCATCTACTTCCTTTTCGTATCATTTTTCACTCGCCTAGTCGCCTTCCATATCCCTTTTTTTATTTCTTTATTGGCCTTCTTCGTCTAACCCTAATTAGTATACTATTTTTATGTATTCTAATAACAAGTATGAACGGGCCCATACACCACTCACCAAAAGTCTAGAGAAGTAATAATTGAATCACGAACCATTAACTTTTTCAGCTCAATGTCGAGTTCAATTAAAAATAAATATACATGGTTATTACTTATTAGAAAGTCATTATTTTCCACTATGAGATTTGAAGGCGTGAAATTTTAAGCGAGTTTCAGTTTGTATTTATTTTGCTTCTCTCTAGAGTTTTTCTTTTTCACCGGACTAGAATTTTCAACAATTATACATGGAATGTTTGGCTAGATAGGTATCTACACATATCAAATAAATAGTTTCCATTTTTCTAATAAAAAGGTAAATAATTATCATCTTAAATACATCACTACAAAAGGAATTAAGTCTCAACTATGCAAATTACAGTTATGTACCTAAACTTACTAGATCTTTAGATTTATAACCTTCATTATTTTTTTGGCATATAAGTCCTCAAAATATTGATGGAAAATTACATTTTAGTACCTAAATTTTTTGTGTATTAGATTTTGGTAATTAAACTTTTGAAGTTCTACAAATAGGTCTAATTAATTATTTTTGTAAGTGTAATTAAAACACCATCGAGTAAATGGCTATTCATACCCAACTCATACACCTTTAGATTATGGAAGTAAATATCCATACCCTACCCAAACTCATCTATAAACTTCCATACCCATATATACGTCACTCATACCCAACAGTGGCGGACCCAGGATTATCGGAGAGGTATGTCGCCGATAAAATCCAATAATAATTAAATTAAATTAATAAATTAATTAAAAAATTAAAAGAAATTAATTCATAAAGTTCACAATGTCATGTTTACAACGAACCACGATGACTTTTCATCTGTTGAAATGTCTCTAAAATACATTCATCACTTATGCTGCAAAGCAAATCTTTTTCAATATACACACCTAAACAATCATTCATAAATTGGTCACTCAACCGATTTCGAAGATCGTTCTTGATTATCTTTATAGCTGAAAATGCTCTTGCGCAACTTACAGTTGCAACAGGTAAAGTCAACACCAACTTCAACAACAACTCAGCAAGTAAACTAAAGGATAAAGAATGTCCGCCTGGGCTACTGGCCCTTTGACCTGTGGATTTTTTTCCTCTGTTAATTATAGGCCCAGACTAGGGGTGGGCATTAGGTTCGGTTTTACCGAACCGAACCGAACCGAACAAAAAACCGACCGAACCGAGATATATACATTTAGGTTCGGAATTCGGACATAAATGTAGTGTATTTCGGAAACCAGACGTATTTGAACCGAACCGAATTACCGAAATCACCGACCGAATTCCGAAATAATAACCAGCCCAAGACCCAAGTGCCCAACCCACTAGCCTACCCAGCACCTCCCCAGCCCAATACTCGGCCCACGCCTATCCTAGTATCCCACAATTGAATTGGGCGGGCCTCACTCCTCAGCCCAACCCACTAGTCTCTAACCCTAGGTCAGGACTCTCAGGAGATTGAATCCTCTCCTCTCCTCGTCTCCTCTCCTCCTCGCACTCGCAGACAGACACAGACCGCACTCCGCAGTCGCACTCGCAGACCTCGCCCCTCGGCGGCTCGGTCCTCGGAATCGCGAACTCGAAGCAAGCAGCAGCTCTCCTCGACACTCGACAGGCGGCGACTCGCAGCGCCGACTCCTCCTCCTCGGCAGACGGCAGGCGGCGACTCCACTCCTCCTCGGCAGGCGGCAGCTCAGCCCTCAGGGCTCGACCTCTCCAGTCCAGACCTCCGACTCCTCCGCGGCCCGCGCCGTTTCCCTGACAGCCCGACGCCGACGCCGTTTGCCCGACAGTCCTCCCCGGCGTCCCCGCCATTGCCACGCCCACCAGCCACCGAGTCTCCTACACTCCAAGTCTCCAACAGGTCCGAGTCCGAAGTCCAGAATCCAAACCCAATCGACATGACTGCCTCCACGAGTCGGAAACCGAGCAAACAGAAGAATGTTGGTGGCGCCACCAACACCAATACCGACAGTCAACAAATTCCAGTTGAGGAAGTCCATGTTTCGGTAGGTTTAGTGTAAATTTTTTTATAGTTAAATTGTATGGACCTAATTGTATGTTGGAGTGTTGGTTTAGTGTAACATGGAATTGGTGCAGAATCACCTAGTTAGATTAGATGCTGGCTGCCCTATGTAATTTTTTTATTATTGGTGTTGATTGTGTTCAATTGTTGATTGTGTAATGTGTAGGAAAAGGATTCATCGGCCGGTGATGCTCCCGTGGAGGTGGAGGGAGCTGCTGCCCGTCCCGGCTCTACTACAAAAAAAAATCTAAAACCAAAAAGAAAGGAAATGAAGTCAAGAGCTGTGTGTTGGACTCAATTCACAAAGTTCAATGCCCCGGACGGTTACAAGATGTCAAGGTGTATGAAGTGTGGGAAGGAGTAAGAGGCCGATCCATTTCTTAATGGAACCAATGCGATGAATGTTCATATGCGAAAAGGTTGTGGTGACGAAAAAGGTACTACTCAACAACTATTGAACTTAGGAAAAACTGGGGTAGAAGGTGTGGGTACTTTAACGAACTGGAAGTTTGATCAAGAAGCTACTAGAAAAGGATTAGCTTACATGCTCATTGTTGATGAAAAACCATTCAAGTTCGTTGATGGGATGGGGTTTAAGTACTTCATGTCACTATGTTGCCCTATGTTCAATATTCCTTCTAGAAGAACAATTACTAGGGATTGCTTTGCCTTCTATAGTGAAATGAAAGACAAGTTGAAAAGGTTTTTTCAAAGTTGTGAAGGAAGAATTTGTTTGACTACTGATGCATGGACTTCAAACAAGCAAGATAGTTTTATGTGCTTAACTGCACATTTCATTGATCAAGATTGGAAATTGAGAAAGAAGATCATCAATTTTGGGGAACTTAAGGGTCATAAAGGTGTAGATATTGCTGATGGCATTGTTGCTTGTTTGGATGATTGGGGAATTGACAAGGTCTTCACAATTACTGTGGATAATGCTAGCTCTAATGATACAGCTGTGGCCAAATTGAAGGAAGTTTTTAATGTTAGAGGCACTAGTATATGTGATAGTGAATTCCTTCACATGAGATGTGTAGCTCACATATTAAATTTGGTTGTTTCTGATGGGCTTGGAGATATTTCATTGTCGGTGAAGAGAATTCGGGAAGCAGTGAGGTTTATTAGAAACTCACCAGAAAGGTTGAAAAAATTTCATGAGTTTGCTACTGTTCAAAAGGTAGAAGGCAAGCGTGGCTTGTGTCTTGATGTTCCTACTAGATGGAACTCGACATTCTTGATGTTGCAGGCTGCTGAGAGGTATGAAAAGGTGTTCAAGATGTTTGACATGTATGATGACCATTATCGAAAGGATTTGGAAAGCAGGAAGGATAGACATGGCATAATTGGAGTCCCGGAGAAGGATGATTGGGAGAATGCAAGGAGGATGATGGGGTTTCTTGGTCGGTTCTACGACTTCACCTTGAAGATCTCGGGCTCAAAGTATACCACTTCTAACTTGTTCTTACAGGAAGTGCATTCCCTATATCATTTGATAAACAAGTGGGAGACGGAAGTTGATAAAGATGTCGACTTGAGTATCATGGCAACCAAGATGAAGACGAAGTACGAGAAGTATTGGGGAGATGTGGATAAAATGAACAAGCTACTTTACATCTCCACTGTGATGGATCCGAGGTACAAGATGGGTTTTGTCGACTTTGCTTTGAAAAGGGTGTATCCTGAGGGTGGCAAGGGAGCACGTATGGCTGGGGATGTGAAGACCGCTACATTTGATCTATTTGCTCACTATGAACAGCTTTGGAAGGCAAAACAAAGCAAGAATGCCTCTACTTCTTTGGCCCCAATTGTGGAGGAGTGTAATGCTGATGAGCTTGATCTACTTGCTGAATACAGAAAGCATAGAGAGCAAATTGTAGGGGCGGTAAACAAATCCGAGCTTGAGAAATACCTTCGTGAGGAAGACGAGCCAATGGTGCTCAAATTTGATGTACTAGGTTGGTGGAAGGTTAACAGCTTGAGGTTTCCTGCCCTTTCCATGATGGCTAAGGATGTTCTAGCGGTTCCAATCTCTACCGTTGCATCTGAATCTGCCTTTAGTGCTGGTGGGAGGATTCTAGATGATTTCAGAAGTTCATTGACTCCTAAGATTGTAGAGGCTTTAATTTGTAGCTCGGATTGGATTCGAGGTGATTCTGCACCACCATCAATCGAGGAGGATCCAGAAGAGGTTGAGAAAATAGATGAAGGTGAAGTTTTAAATTTAGCATTACATATTTATAACATGATTAATTTTTATGTCATGACTAATTTTGAGTCTTTTAATCATACAGAATTGGACAAGTTGATGAATGCAATCTCTATAAGAGATAATCTAGTTTCATCTACCTCGACTTCCAATGTACCGAGTGGGAGGAGGAACGATGGCAGTGCATCCAGTAGTGCTTGTGGTGATACTTCTGATGTTTCTATGCATGGTTGATGACTTCAAAGGTAAGAACTAATTATTTTATTCTACTTGGTTACTTGTGATTAGCTCTAAACTTATTAATCACTAACCATCACTGTTTTGTGTTTATTGTACTATTTTCGAATTCAAAGGTGTCAATTGTCCAAGAGGGAAGAGCCAAGAAGCACGACCTTTGGAGTTTGTACAAGTTATGCTTGGAATTTAGACATTGGTTACCTTTCTCTTATTAGTTTGAACTTAGAACCATTTGTTTTGTAATGAATATTTGGATTTGGAAGAACTTGATGCAATGTAATGTGTTGAATTGAATGTGCTTGATTTATTTTCCAACTTGATGTAATGTGTAGGTGGACAATTGATTTATCTTCCAACTTTAAATGCTTGTTTTAATTAATTGTATTTGATAGACATGTGAAATGACAGGTGGAAATTTATAAATGAAATGGCAGCAGTGAGTAGCCCCCCATGCCAAATTTCCATGGTGAAAATGTAGTGTAGGGGTGGGCACAGCAGCGGAGCAGCCAGCCAGCCCCATTTCCAGAATGCACAAACAGGGGCAGCACAGCAGCATGCAAAATCTCCACAGCAAGAGAATTCGGTTTTGGCCATTCGAACCGAACCGAACCGAGTTGTAATTCGGTTCGGTCGAACCGAACCGAATTACAACTCGGTTCGAATTCGGTTGGTGTGTTGGACGTTTCGGAAACTCGGTATGTGGTGGTTCGGTTCGGTTCAAACCGAACCGACCGAACGCCCACCCCTAGCCCAGACCCAACACACATCACACATATATATTGTATGGGCTGAGAGTATGTTTTTTTAATAGGAAGTTATAGAATTATGATTTATGAGTTATTTTAAATAAAATTAAAAAGGATTATGATTAAGATTGATTCATTTGGATAATAAATTCTTCGACTATAATGAAGGTGTGTCGGCTATCCCGAAGTAAAAAATTTTGTACCAAAAATATGTAGGTTTTTCTCAAAATTCTCGAGCGAGGGTGTGTCGGACGACACACCCTTACTAGCCTTAGGTCCGCCATTGATACCCAACCAATAATCAATTGGTCTACTTGGGTTGACTGTCGTATATCTCTTCTCAGTCAATATCATATTGTAAAGTCAATATTACTAACAAAACTGTTAAACAAAAAATTAATTTTAGACTAATAATATTAACAAAAACACCATAACGGACCACGTAATACATGCCCATAGGCCATCTCTGCCCGCGATAATACGCGGCATCGCCACCTAGTATATATCATAAAAACAAGGAGTCGAAATTAATTATCTGCCAAAGAAATGAAAAGAAAGAAGCTTATTTCATTGATCTAAGTCGTTGAAACACGTATAAGAAGCGACGCCATACAGTTCTCTCAGACAGTGACATACATCAACTATTGTAAGGAAAACCGGGCAAACAAAAACATTGATCGAATCGACCTTATTCCACTGCATCTCCCCTGGTAAGGTGAGCTAGATGACATGGTTCTCGTATCTCAACGAGCAATCCTCCAGTTCGATGGAAGCCCCGACTTTATGCGGGCAGCCATGGAGGAGCAGCTTCTTGGCGGCCCTGACGCAGCTGCGGCACGTGGATTTGATCCCGAACGTCCACGGACAGCGCGCGTGGCCGTAGACAATGGGCTTCTGCGGCGGGTAATGGGCCCGGTAGTCCTTGTTGTTGAACGTGATCCTGTCCACGGCCTCCGACACCAGCTGCGTCAGCACCACCGATATCGAATGCTTCCGTTGGTCGCCCGGCCGGTACCTCTCCGCGCTGCAGTTCCGCGATTTGAACTCCACGCTCTTGGCAGCCTCGGCAGCGACGGAGAACCCGAGAAACCAGGACACCATCAATGCGGCCGACAGGAGCAACGTCTTCCTCATCGTATCTTTTGCTCTTTTGTGATTATTTGGTTAATTACTTGCTAACTTTTCTCTGCATGGGATGGTGGTGAAGGAGATGATAGCTGTAGTTATAGGGTGGAGTACTTTCTCGGAAAGACCGGAGTCGAGGAGTCCTGTGTTCTCATTTGGGCATTTGGGCTATGGCGATAACGACGGTTCGATCCGGATAATAATAATGAAATTTTATCTTTGTACGTAGTGGTAGAAGTATGATTACTTCTTTCTTCCTCCCAAGCTATTCGTTACGCGTTAGCTGTTTTATGCTCTCTTTTTTTTCCCCAGCCGGTGATTCTATAGTTTATTTTTAGCTAGTTGTCTTTTGGCTCTAGAGTATAGACCGATCGACTGGACTCTGCTAGTATATAAAGATTCGGCCGTGCATGCTGTAAACTATATATCCACACTTCCTGCCCTTAATAATAGATCATCAGCTGCCCTTAATATTGGTGATATTGATTAATTTTATGGAATTAATTTGGTAAATAAACTTAATATTGGTGATATTGATTAATTTTCTGGAATTAATTTGGTAAATAAATGATTTTCTGAGATAATTTTCGTGATTGATTAATTTGATAAATAAACAATTTTCTGAAATGATTTTTGTGATTGACGAAGTTTCTGGGATTAATTTCATAAATAAATAATTACTGGAATTAAATTCGAAAATAAATTAATTTTTGAAATTAATTTCTTAATTTTTTGAATTCTGTTAGTGATTGATTAATTTTCTGGAATTATTTTGATGATTGATTAATTTTCTGGAATTAATTTGATAAATAAATAATTTTCCTGAAGTAAATTCGTAAATAAATTATTTTTCGAAATTCATTTCGTAATTGATTAATTTTATGGAAATTATTTGGTAATTAATTAATTTTTGGTATAATTTTATAAATAAATAATTTTCTGTAATTCTATAATTTGGTAATTAATTTTGTGGTTGAAGAGGGTCAACTCGCTGACCCGGCTCATCCCAACCCGCCCCGACTCTAAAGGGTCAGACAAGATCAAGAAGAGAATAGGGATGTGTCAGGTCAGTTTGCGGACGAATCATATTGGATCAGGGGTACGACTGGCAAATTTTCAGCCCGAGTTCAATATTCAAATGTGAAGTTTTACTAGGAAATAGCGGTAGAGCGCGTTGCCTATTCTCCAATTTGGAAATACTGAAGAAATCAAGGTCATAATGTGTTTACACCTAAAAAATTATCTTGTACCACATTGATGAGCTACAAGGTAATTAATGATCTTATAAGGCCACACCAATTATAATAATTATTTTATTTACGATGGGCAATGATTTTAAGCCCAAGTCACTAAGTTATAAATGATTATGAACATGATTCAATGAGTGGCATGAGCCTCTCGTAGGAGGTCATGTCGTGCCATGAGATTGCATAAAAATATTCTAAGTCTGGGAAAGACGTGCTGCTTCAATGAGGAGGGTCATGTCCATCTAAAATTTAGAAGCATATGTCATCTCAAGTCACGTGATCATGGCTCCTCCAGTGCACAAAAATATTCCAAGTTTAGAGAAGAGAATGTTGCTTCAACGAGGAGGCCCATATCCATCTAGAAATACGAGAAGGCCATGTCGCTCCACGAGAGGGGTCATGTGCATGATTGGGAGGTCTCCCGCCACGAATCACATACTTCAAAGGAGACAAAAATATTCTTTGTCTAGGAAGGTCATGTCGTTTCACGAAAGGGGCATGGACACGAGACAGGAGATATTAGGCACAATAGAAAATACTAAGTATGAGAAGAGTATGCCGTGTCACGGGAAAGGGCCACATGCATGACTGAGAAGGCCATGGTCACGAATGAAGAGGCCATGCCGCCTCATGACCAAGACAGAACGACCCAAAATATACTAAGTCTAGGAAGGACATGCTGCCTCATGAGAGGGCCATGGACATGAATGGGAGGCGTGATGGTGGAGCATTATATCACTAGTGACTAGGTCTCAAGTGGTCCATGGTCGTGAGACAAGAAGGCCACATACATGAGTAAGAAGTCCATGGTCGTGAGGCAAGGGGACCACGACCCCCATTTGTGAGACACCACATGCTTATCAAAATACTAGCATGGCACGAGATTTGGAACAAGACCAGGCCAGACAAGCTACACTCCAAGAACCACGACGGTTCCAAGAGAAGCACCTAGGCGGTTGAAGGAGTAACAACCACTCCGAAGAAGCAGGGAGCAGTTCTTTTAGGGGTTATATATCCAAGAGGCATTTTTCTACGACGGTTACCTCCTCGTGGCTATAAATAGGAGGAGGGGTCGACAGAGACAATAGTTCCACAACCAAACAATTGAGGCCTACGTCAAACTTTATCCTTTTTCTCTGCAAGTAACCATAGTCGTAGTTTGGATGTCTCACTGATCCTCCATAGGAGTATAGGTAATTTAACGTAGATTTGTTCCCAAAAAATTCCATCAATCAAACACCCTCGTTCGAACTATGTTTGAACTGTGTCTTAGTGATCGTTGTCCGAAGAAGTCAAAGATGAAATCAATCTCAATTCAATGCAAGTTTTCTCGCCGGAAAACAAATTGACACACCTGGTGGGACCTTGTGTTTGATTTGATGGCTCCAAGACAAAGGCAACAAGAAGGTGATCTCTCACCTGGGTTTGTGATGAAGCAAGCGGCTAAGTTTGAATTTGGCTAAGGCACATAAGGTGTTGCTGGAATAATGACATGACAGAGAGTTTGCCACCGACGACACAAAACGTTCATCTAACCACCAACGTCATGCTACTTCACCAGATGTTGGAGGAAAATCGCAAGATGATGGTTGAGAACCGTCAAGCCTTGGAGGAGAACCACCAAGTGATGAAGGAAAACCGTCAAGTGATGATGGAGAACCTAAATTTCATGAAGGATAACTTTGCGAGAAGTACTCGTAAGGTAAGTTCTCAAATTGAGTCTCTCAATTCTTGTCTAGATATGCGTTTGAGTCAACTTGTTGAGTTGCTTGATTAAAATATAATTGATTTTAATGAGTTGACACAACTATTAACTAGTGGTCGGAATGACCAATTATGGCAGGAGAGCTTGTCAGTGCTAGTGATAAGCCAACCACCCCTTAACGTGAGAGTTGTTGTGAAGAGGTCTGCCTCCTCATTCAGCACCCACGAGAGGAACTTGCCTGTACAAGTTGGTTTTCAACCGTCCATTATAAGACAATTTATGACACATTTCAATGACATAGGTGGTGGAGATTCATTCGAATTGGACCCGAGTACCACCATCTACTCACCCACCCCTAATGCCACCCTAGTGAGTAAGCAAGGAGAGGATTCCAATAGACTCAAACCACTTAGAGTCCAGCAAGGGGGGCATGTAGCTCTACCATTCCACAAGCTGAAGTCGAGATGTCCATCTGGAGACATGTGGTGTCTAAGGACGATTTTCTTATGAATATTTAGGCTTTATTTCATCAAAATATGATTTTAGTTCACAAACCAACTCCCCCCCCCTAACCATTACAAAACTACTACAGAAAAATTAACCTATCCATCGTATTATATCAATTATTTCACATCCTCTAATTCCACGACTCGTTTCATTTTGACTAACAATTCAGCAGGGTCAAACCTTGAACTTCCTATATGTAATCTCCTACATCTTTCCTGCCAGATGTCACTAAGCACTAAGTTCCAGAGTATAAGGACATATTTGTAAGTAAAAATGCACGTTGTAGTTGTAATTCTATGCCATATAATCATATAAGCAAATGGCAATAAATAAATTTTTTAGAAAGACGTAATGGTCTAATTTTAAACTAAAGTGCATTGTATCATCCCCAAATTAAGGGCGTCCTATAAATAGTAGTCTTAAATATGTCTCGTTTAGGTGCAGAGATTAGATTAGGTTAGATTAAATTAATGTTTAGGACCTAATTAAAGTACGGCTTGATTCGTGTGACATGGTTGCCGAAAACGATAGTAACTACCGAATCTTGGGTTAGCCGAATCAGCTCTCCAACTTGCTTCATTTTGTTTTGGTGCTGTAGTTAATTATTTTGGGTTTTGCATCTAGATTATTTTATTTAAGCACGAGGGGGGCAGTATTACAATCATCCTTCACTTATTGTGGAATCGGACTGCCAAATGCTTATTCAAAAGCTGAGGAAGAAGGAGGAAGATCGAACAGAAGTGGGGAGCTGGTGTGGTGAGATTTGGAGATTGGCTGAGATTAACGCGAGCTTATCTGGAATTCAGGTGAAACGGAACTTTACTCCTCGAAGAAATAATGGAATTGCTCACTGGTTAGCTCACTCTCTGGGAGTTTGGGGCCACCAATTTGTCTGGGTGGATAACCCGCCTGTATCTTTGCTTTGCCTTCTTGAGAAGGATTTGGGCCGCGATCATTTGGGCCCGGTGTAAACTCTTCTTCTTTTAATATTGATTCAGGTTCCCGTAAAAAAAAAAAAGATAACAGAAAAATTGTTCTTGGCGTTAAATTTTCCGGCACTTAAAAATTGTAACCTAAAAAATATGTACTGGCTTTCTGTACAAAGTCAACTATTGTAAAAACCTATAAAATTCTTATCTTACGATTTCTGATATGAATCATATTAAGGTGGTATGATAATATGATTCATATACATAATGATAAAATATGAGTTTTTATAAGTTTTGTACCTTATTCTTTCTTAAAATATGGCGCAGTTGCTCCGGTTTCAATTAGAGTTTCAGGTATCTTTAGTATATCACATAGCTTTTTCCATTGATCTCTCATTCCTCTGATTTCGAATTGTTCCACTAATGACAATTTCTTTCATTCTCGATATACCACAAAGCAGCAAAGAGCTACAGCAATTGATCATCTAATTGAGTCAACATAACCTCAGAGGCCCACTCTTGACACGTAAGCTATTCTTCCCTTTTGAACATTCCAAGCAGAGAACTTGGTTGCCATATCCTTCTTACCCAGCTTCAGACTATGAAATGTGTTTGAGTCTCCTTTTTTTCAGATAAGTCAGAATACGGTGGAAACTGTTATTTCTAATTACTGAAACCACATATGCTTTATATAGAATATTGAGACTGACTTTATAAGAAGTCTAAGACTAATGTGGAATAGAACACTTCACAAATAGTACTCGTATAATGACATAATACTCATATTCTAGTAACCATAAAAAAAATCGTACTCTGATACCCTCCGCAAATTGATTATAAGAATTTACCAACAATTTGAAAACCGAAAAAATGACACAAATGACTACGAACAACGTGACTAGAAAAAAAAAATGAAAAATATAACTGCTCAGCCAAACACTCCAATGTCGTTGAAAAGCATGCCTCATGCCCCGGAAAACCTCCATGGTGATGAGTTGAGATAGCAAAGGCTCTTACCAAAGTCGTATTGTCCGTCAAACAAATAGAACCGCATGCTCCAAAGAAAACATGAGGATCATGATGCTCTGAATAGCATCATCGAAGCGAAAACAGAACCACATGCTCTGAATAGCAGCATGACAATCAGGATGCTCCATATAACATCATCGAAACGGAGAACAAACTAGAAATGCTCTGAACAACATTTATCATATCGCGATGTTCAAAACAACACCTCCAAAATCGAAACAGAGAAACCAAAGGGACAAAGCCTATGGTTATACTAATAATCAACATTCATATTTAAATGAAATACAATATTCCAAACAAAAATAACAAATACTCATATCTAAATACAACATTTAAACGTCTAGACCCAAACGTCTATAATTAAACTCAACAAATAACATCAACATTTAACTTTCAAACTCATAAAATAAATCAAATCTAATTAAGTAAATTCACTAATACATTATTATTTTTTTAAAGACCGAAAATCAATCATGTCGTTCATACCAATGGTAGTCCAATTGGTTTCACTATCGACACCTGTTATACTAGGTTCAGCTGAGTGGGATGACAACAATGTGTACAACCCTCTCTCACCAGTATTTGGAAATTGATATTGCAAAGGTTATTTGAATCAAATAATCAAAATTTAAAAATTGAAAATTGAAAAGTTTGAGGGACTATGATGTAGAAATTAAAAAGGTTTGGTTGCGATCGGATAGTTCGAGTTTGACGGGCCAAGATCCATTTCAACGACAAGTAACAACGGGCTTCGTTGCAAATTTGGGTAATTTGTGTAAGCCCAATTCGCCAGGCCTTCGTTAGCTGGTGGAGGCCTGCAGGCTGCAGCTCGCCCTGATGGCGCGGAAGATCATCAATTTCGTTCGTCGGGGGTGCGATCCCGGCAGGCGGCGAAATTGTGCGCCCAGGAAACTACAAGTGTACAACTGGTAGGTGTGAGTCTGCAGGCCAATTAAAGAAATGGAGTGCGCCGGCAGGGGAAGCAGAGGACCGTGCGTCGCTCCGGCCACAAGGCGATGCGGTGGATGCGGCGCAGTTGCTTATTGCTCCGTCTCTCATCAGGTTAGTTTCCCAGCCTTTTTGTCCAGTAGTTTCGTGGCCAGTTTCCGGTGGGTTTACGCTTACTTCCTTCCTGCGCTAGCTTTCGCACTGGGATCACCATAAGCAAGAATGCGAGAGGTTGGAGCAGCAAATGAAGCGCGTGGAAGCCTTGAACGAGTTCCCTTTCACTTTCTCCGAAGAAGCTACTCTGGAGGTAAATTTTCCTCTCCGAATCGTGGGATAGGGTTAGTAAGTTGCATGTGCGATTCGCAATTGCATATATGAGGAGAGCACTATTTCTGGTAGGTGTTTGAAAAGCGGGAGAGTAGGTGTTCGTTCTTGAGCAAAAGAGGGATCCATGGATTGGGAATGTGGAAGTATGAATGCGGCTGCGGAGACTCTCTTGCTTCTGCTGATTCCACAAGGTTTTCTGGTTTAAACCGTATCAAATATGTTGTTGCTTTGATGGAATGCGCTGCCAAACGAGAAATGACCTCATCTGATGTTGAAATTTGGCTTTCTACCAAAGAAAAAAAGAATTGGGGTCAAGATTGAAGTAGTGGAAACTCATTCATGTTCAGAAGTAACAAGCAATTTTTGGCATTTGATTCGGCTAACAGGTCAGAACGAGAAAGTTGGAATCTCCCTCGCGAGCTATGCCCTTGTAGTGGTACGAACGCTGTTTCTGGAATTTCATTTTCTTCTATGTAATGGATGTGCAGTGCAGTGATTTCATTGTTCATGCAGGGCCAGCGTCTTTAAAGTCGGATGCTTTGAGCAATTGGAAAGATTACTTTGAGTGGAGGTGTCTACCCCTCCATTCACCAGTTGCTCTGCTTCTTCATTGGGTATGAAAAGTTAAAAGTTCAAGTTACCAGTTGAAGGAGAGCATAGTATTAGTATATGGGTCCATGGATTCGGGTTTGATTATCTTGAAGATACAAACAGAAACTGACTGAACTGAGCCTGTTTTTGTTTCAGCCACTCCTTGTATATTACGCCACTCAAATTGCTTTTTCGGGGAAATCAGGTGTTGAGACGACCAAGCAACTCTTTATACACTATCTTGGCAAGTGACATGACTCCTAAGTTTACCTGTAATTACTTTTTTCATACATTATCATGAGATTTAAAATTGAGATCCTAAAAAATTTATCTGCTCATCTAATGTGTTGGATTAGTTTAGTGTGCAACCGTAGTTGATATGTCAGTTTTTTTTTACCCTCTTTGTAATGTAATTTTTTAAAGGGCCTGAGAAAGAGCTTTTTCAACTTGCTGCTTTTGGGGAGTTGTGTGCACTCTTTCCTGGTGTACGCATCCATGTAGAGCTTGTTGGACCCGCCATTCCAGAGAAGAGGTTAAGTAGCTTTTGGTTCTTGCTGAACTAGTTTACTACCAACAGCTTCTCTTACATTTCTCTTCTAATCTTTACCCAGGGATGGTGAGAAGATTGATATAGTCGATTATGCCCATTGTCAGGGTGCAGATTGCATGTGCAGATCTTCCAGCCTGAATAAAGGGTCAGCTGTTAGTTCTTGCATGTCTTCTGCTGTGACACTAAGGCTGCGAAAAGGATTTTACCATGACCGTTATAGAGATATAACTGAGGTCCTCTCTTTCATCTCCTCCTGTTATTCTGTCTGTTCCGCGATTGAGAATTGTATGGCATATTATGTTTGTGTTTCTCCTTTATATATGTTTACACCTACAATGTTCTTAACGGTATTATCCCAACTTTGCTAGTCTGATAATCTGCAAATCTTCCAGGATTCATTTCCTCACCTTGTCGTTGCTCCTAATGCTGGCATTGCAGCTTATCCAAGTTGGTTACCTACTATAGTATCTCTCTCTCTCTCTCTCTCTCTCTCTCTCTCTCTCTCTCTCTCTCATGTGGATTATGGCACTCGTGAGGAGTAATAATGCTTATATTTTACTAAAATTTCTCTAGTATATGCAAACAATGTTACAACCAAGGTACTTAGACTATAGATTCTACATTAAAGTGAAATCGTATAACATGGGAATCATAAATTGGCATATAGTAAAATAGAATTTTCAGGTTTCATGCATCACATAAAATATATATACAAACTTAAGTTTTTTGCTCATTCTGGTTGCTTCAAAATGAACATTAGGAGCTGATAAAGGAGATGAACATTCCAGCGGTATTTTCTGATTACTGCGAAGAAGCTTGTCATCTAGCAGCTCGGTGCATACACAGTGTGACTGGCCGTCCTATTAGAATTCCTGTGAGTTAACCAGTGCTGGTTTATTCGGATACGGAGTTCAACGAACTGGTCCTCGGCTTATGTTTAATTTCTGGACCCTAATGGACTGTTTCCCTGGTTGTAGATTCAATTGAATCCTTTCAGGCAGCCACTGGTGGTAGAGAACAGCCCTCTTTTTATTCCTTGCTACCCCAATTGCTTCCTGTTTGGGATTTGAGAAGTGATAACATCTGCTGTGGAACGAATGTGGAAGTACTGAACAAAAAGCTGTACGTCGGGCAATGTGTACGTATAGGTTTACCTTTCCTTTTCCATGGTTTTGATAATCTCTTACTTAAACACAGTTTATCAAACATTTGCAGTTATCTGTGTTAGTATATCTGGGCCATTCATCTTTAATGGCAATTTGACGGTGGAACTTTTGTGATAATTCTACTTGAGAATGCGATGTGAATGATGTATAAATAGTAATGTCGAACCATCTTCTAGGAAAGCCAAAACAGAGCATGGCAGAAACTAATCCCAGAATCAAGCGTTTTTGTTCCTTGCATTCTCTTACGGCTGTGTTACAATGTTGTATTTAGCATTGAGAATGGGAAGTTGCTGAGACTGAGATAGTTTTTCAATTTAGGAAAATTTCAGAAAATTCAAGTTTGAGATATAGGGAAAACCATAACAGGCTATTTCTTTATGCTTGGGAGTCTAATAAATTTTTAAGAGTTTGGTTTGCTTTATTTCAATATTTTTTTTGAAATGAGAGTGAATGTAGCTAGTATATTTTTGTTTACGATATCTGATTTTTCTATGTAAATGTGGTTCAGTGCTATACCATATCCTGTATTTGTCGCTAGGTTCCAAAACTTCAACCTAGAACCAAAGTGCAAGTTTCCATAGTTTTGATCTAGAATCTTCCTCAATAAACAATAACCACTAACAACGGCAAAAAAGCACACTTCCTCCATTTCCAACGAATCATGAACACTATTCATAACAAACTTTATTTGCTACACTTGCTATCAAACTTTTCAAGCACAAGTGTGAAGGAGGTAAACAAACATGTAAGTGTCTCAATAGTTTGCATGCAACGAAACACTTTTTAAGAGCATAATCAACTTTTGTGGCAACTCTATTTTCTTCCTAACCCTCTTTATTTCTTTCTTTTTGTTTTCTTTTCTTTACCACTTATTGAGGGCTAGTAGAGAACACCAACACATGCCACATTTTGAACTTAATGAACAATGCTCACTTTTAAGAACTTCCTCCAACACTCACTTTTTCATTCTTAGCAAAAGCCATGCACAAATCACTCATGTGGAACCTCAATTAAGCTCAAATGATATGATGGGAGCTTCCAAACACAAGGGTGGCTCGACAAAGGTGTAGACCCGAAGAAAGTAGGGTCGCTTTATCCATCTCAATCAAGCTCAAGTAGAGAGATCTGCCTAACATGAGAGATAGGGGTGGGCATTGGGTGGGTCGGGTGGATTTTGACCATAAAATGCACCCACCCGCGCTTAAACGGATTGATAATTTTTAACCCACCACCCACCCACATTTAGTCTCGGGTTGGGTCGGGCGGATGGTGGATGATGCGGGTGGGTTTGTGGGTTTACCCACATCACAATGTATACAATATAAAGGAGTCAACTTGACATGATAATAAGTGAAGAGAGTTCTCGGGGAAAACAAGAAGATGAAATAGGGCGGCAAAAAATGTCGAATTAGTTCTTAAATTGGATAGAAATTCTATTATGAAAGAGTTTTCTACAGATTAAGATGATTACCAGGTGCAAGAAACTAAGGAAAATAATTCCACAAAGGAAAGAGCAGTGATCTAGGCACAAGAATTAGAGGAAAAAATAAAGGGAAGAAGAAGGGATCGCTATTTGGAAGGTTGGCTTTGAGGTTCAAACTCCATGAGCAGTCCTAATTTATGTCTAACGTCTCCACTCTCCCCTCTCTAGCGCCAACGACTTTGATCTTTTGGCTGTTGGGTTGAGCGGGTCACCCGCGCACCCACCCACCACCCAGCGGATGGCTCCCAGAGCAACCCGTCACCTACCCACAGACCCACCCACTTAACGAAATTCGGGTCAAATGCGGGTGGGTCGGCCCAAACCCGCGGATGATCCGCCCGCATGACCAGCCCTAATGAGAGAGACCCTTAGACACACGGCTCAAAAGGGTTGAGTATGGGATAATTCAATCGGGATAAATTAAATTTTGGGCCGTGGACTAAACCTATGCCTCCATCTTCCTTGACAGTGACAACGTGCATGCTACACATCATGGTAAGAGGGATTTATCACACAAGAACAAAACGAGCGGCAAAAATCTCACATGGCTACCTAGATGCTCAATCATTCATTGTAATTTCCAAATTTTGATGCATAAGCAATTGTAATAAATGAGTAATCAATCCAAAACATCCATTAGTTTGCTAACACATGAGAACTGAACATTTATAGAATCCTATTGCAAATCTCAGTCATTATTATAGGTTGTTCTCAATTGCAAACAAGTCATCCATACATCAATGATAATAGCCACGAGATTCAAAACAAAACACCAAATGTGCTACTATGATCATGCAAATTTAGAAGTTGTTTTGCTTGGAGCCCTCAAAATTTTTAAAATTTGGGCATTCAATTAAGGTCCAAAGACTCAAAATCACACCAATCATTCACACACAAGCATAATAGACTACCCCCCCCCCCCAACACACACACGCGCGCGCACACACTTAAACTCGACATTGCTCTTAACGGAGTAAAATAAGGAGGTAGAACGATGTTACCGGATAGTGTGTGAATGTTGGTGGACGGGAGCGGAGGATGGGTGAGATCTGGAAGAGCAAGGCCACGTCCAAAACACCAAAAGCTCTTCAAAGTTTGTCTTATTCAAGCGAGAAGAAAACAGACCGAGTGGTAGTTGGGTTGCCTCCCAACAAGCGCTTATTTAACTTCGTGAGCCGGATGGTTGCACTTCAAGTCTCCGTCCATCAGAGCACCTCCTTGAAGTTGAGGTTCTCCCTGGTGATGTGGTGTTCAAGTCACGAGCTTTGAACGAGTCTTTGCTTGAGGGCTCGTGAACATGATGTGAATTGAGGCTCTACCCACAAGACCTCTTCTTCTTTTTTCTCTTTGCCCCACACCATATAGTGCATCATGGATTGACTGCCATCGCATCCACCAAGAGGGATCGATGATGTTTTGGCCTTGGCTTGGCAAAGAGCCACAAACGGGTCCTTCTCCAAAAGTGCATCGAGGTCAGGACTCAGGTGGAAAGCTTTCATAGTATTTGTAACTTGTATATGCTTCATCCACCTCGACCTCGTCCTCATCTTGGGCCTCAGTTGTTTCTTCCACCTCAACCTCCCTACACTCTTCTTCAATGTGTTATTACCCTTGGGAACAACCAAGATCTTCCTCTTCTTTGATGCTCACTTCCTCTTCTCTTCCACAACCTCTTCCTTGTCCTTCCCATTCATGTCTTCAACCACAGTTTGGAGGACAAGATACCATGCAAGATCATTGAAAGGGTTCTCTTGCTCATCTACCCTCGTGACTTTGTCTTGATCATCCTCACCGCAGGAACTCTCCGGGGTGAGTACCTCTTATTCCCCATAGTCTTCATGGACCGCCCTTCCAACCTCCACTACTTCTTCCGATGGCGAGAAGCGATGGCGTGCACAAGCTCGTGCAACCTTCTCTTATAGTATCAAACCGGGTGGAAGGAGGGGTTGTAAATCCATTTTGGAGCATGCTCTTTCAAAGTTCTCCATGGCAAGCTCCAATTTGGACTTCACTTCGGGTTGTGTGGGCGATCCAAGTTCAAGCATCCTATGTCGGTGCCTCGAGCAAACCACTCCACCTCGAGCTCCAATTCGCACTTTGGCTCCGGTTGTGATTGACACATGGTCTTGAGGAATGTCCCATGAAAGTATCCATTGCCAACTCCAACTTGGTTTTCTCCTCAGTTTGTGGAGGAAAGTTTTCTTGGTATGGGGAAGCTTCTTGATATCCGCAATGGTATGCTTGTTCTTCTTCAAAGGGAGGTTGATCATAGAACACGGTTCCTAGGCTTCTAACCTCTTGATTACTGCATGAAGCACCGAGGTACCCCCATTCGGGTGGTTGTGGATACGCCCACATGTTGTAGAAGCCATTGAGATCCATGATTCAATCTACACAAACAAAAACACTTAAAAGAAAATCAAACACACACAAACCACCCTTCAAGATGAAGAGTGTGTCAAAAAACACAAAAACAAAAACAAAAGGGCTAAAGTAACAGCCGAAGCCCTTTTGTCGATAACCTAGAATTTTCCCCAGCAACAACGCCAACAACTTGGATCCAGTCTAACTACACATCCTAATTGAAGACTAAGTATAATCGACGATCGGGTGTAGCATAGGGTAAGCAAGCAATAAAAATATTGAATAACCTAGAATAGTGATTAGGAAAACTAAACTAACTAACCTAACTAACCACTAGCCTAGCTAATTACAAGTTGTAGAGCTCTTTTAGCTTGAATCTCCCTACTTCTATCATTTGGATCAATGTTGAGTATCATTCTAGCTCGATCGACTCACGAACCTACCGTTATGAGATAGACTCACTTGAATTTAACCTGGAATGGCGAAGTGATGGATGGGTGGTGCTCTATTCAACCTAGGGATTCACATTGGATGTCGATCGAATTAACTCCCTCAGGGATTACACGGACAACATATGATAGGAGTGACTCGAAGACCCCAATAATGAGCTCTAATGGGATTATCTCCCTCCTATGTCAAAAGCTCAATTTACATGAAATGGAATCCAAAATCATGAAAACCATCCATCAAATAGATAAAATCATCAATCAAACATAGAATATGTCACAATAGATAAAACCACCCATTCATGTCTTCAACCACGGTTTGGATGGGGAGAATAAGTCTCTCTCTCTCTCTCTAAAAACTCCTCTTTTGTTTTTGGGTCGAAACCCTAGAGAGAGAACCAAGTTCTCCTCCAAAAACCAGCTCTCCTTTCTCTCTCCCTACTACTGTCTTTTTATATAGTCCGAAGGCCAAAATCATTGTCAGATGTCACGGGGGTGACATCGGCAAGCCGACCATGATCTCGGACGAAGAGGCATAAGTTTCCTGTTTTTTTAGTCCAATGTCGCGACCTCTTCACAATTGTCACGGTCTAGTGATCGTGACAATTGATCTGCCATCGAGGCATGCAAATCCTTCTGATCCATTCAATTTTCACGCCCTGCGCTCAATTTTAACGGCATAAGGGCCGTGAAAATTCCCTCCAAACCGTGACTTTGGTATTTTCTTCACTTTTTGACGTTTTTCCAAACTCCAATCCTCTCGAAACTCGTCCTCGACCTTGCCACACGTGGTAGGACTTTGAAATATAATAAAAGAAGCACAATCTAGCGTAAAATAGATCGAGTGACGATGATTACGAAGTCAAATGATCAAGAAATAAAGGGTAAATATGTGTAATTATGCCCGAATCAACCACTTTTATTCTGGATCTCCTTGTCCTGCAACTCCGCTGTTCTTCT